CAACAACACCCACACCTACCCAAGATATCACTGCCGCTTCGTTTCCCTCAGCACTTAGCTGATTACGAAACTTGAAGTGTGCAACTGTTTGATTCGTTGCTTCAATTATTCGAGCGTTCTCCCCGTTCACGGTCAACGCTCTAGTGGAGGAGTAATGTGGCGTATTGTATCTTTATTTTACTTCCGTTATAACACTACATATCTAATCAACTGCATAATCGTTTTTTTGTTTGAATATGAAAAACAACAAAAACGCGCACTTTTACAATTCCACATAATACAAGCGTGGTCACGTGCTTCGACTCTCTCTTCTGATTTCGATCGCGAGTTCAGCGGCCATTCGCGAGTCTCGTGTACTAACTTTGGTGCCGAAACATTTCAGACCATCTTCGGAATCTATTATATGTGGGAACTGTTCAGAAGGAGACCTCTGGACCAAAATAATTGGAGCATTGTTTATTCACTTACCTGGGCCAAAGACGAGCTATTTTAAAGAGAACACTTTTTAGTGAGTATGTCCCATCTGACCTCTTTATTACTGTATACCCCAACTAGCGTTGTTATTCTTATTTCTTTGCCACACACTACCGGTAAACTAATTTATTGGGTAGCCGACCACTACACAGGTCGTGTGCCATATCACGCCGACCGTTGTGATGGCGAAGCTTGCTCGTCGTGTGATGACAATATTTAGACTTCCCCCAATGTGAGTGTGCTTATGACCATTTTTGCTACCTGGACCACGGCCCATACAGGAATCGCACCGATATGCCTACCAAAAGATTTGCAAATAGGGCGTGTGATGATACCAACTTGGATCGAAGCAAGGAATTCAGACACAGTGTGTTCCGGAAGTTTGTGTGCCTCCGTACTTTCGCTCTTAGTAAGAGCACGTGAACAGCCGTAAGTTAAGAGCGTAGTATTCGTACTAATGCTAAAGAGCGCCATCTGGGAAGCAATGATGATTTCATATAACGCGCACAGTGGCAACCATTTCAAGCCTTTTTTCCTTTACAAGGCCTCATGCGTCTCAGACAAGGCTCACATTTCTTAAGGTCTAATGCTCAGCAAGCATGAGCTACCAGAAATAGCGCAATGCGAACTAATTATCGAGGGTGAGGTTCTGTAAGCAGGGTTCTGCGTGTTTGTCAACGTTAAAGCGCTCGTTTGCAAAGTGAGCATTGCTCCTGGCTTGTTAGCTGCGTGTCTAGTAGTGATGTATTTATTAACTAACTAACATCTCCATCTCATTTCAGGACGCCTACAAGGCTGGATGAATACTGAGTACCAAGGAGGCAGCAGGCTTCCTGCTAGGTCATATGTAATAACGAAAACTCCCAATCAAGTTCAAATTTTCATCTAATCCAATTTGTACGATTCATTTTTCCCAGTCGAGATAAACGGCCGCGAGCGGACAAGTTGACCGATGTAGTTTTCATCCAGCCTACTGATTGGTCCTCGTAGAACTCCCACCTCATGTTATTCGTGGGCTTCGCAATATTGTGTAAGCAGCGGCAGCGTCCTTTCCTTAAATTGGGACTCTGTGGTAGGTTTCAGGATGAGAAGATCGCCACGTACATTTACAGCCTCAAACTATCCGGTACATTCTCGAGGCCGACTAGGAAAACCCTATTGCCAGTTGCAGTAGGGAACTCTGCTGCCAGTAAATGCACAGTGCATTTATCCGAAAAACCTTCACAATGCACATGCACTGGGACCAAAGTCACCCAATTTTGCGTCTATTTTTCAGATTTGTTTTGGTTACTCCCCTTTCTAACTTTTGGACGCGCATTCGACTTTCAGTTTGCTATGCCACGGTTTCAGAATTGGCTTTACCTATGTTTGTTGAGAAATTGTGGGTTGCACCCTTTTCACCCTCCATGGCATCCGCAAATGCGTTGAATGAATGTATGGAGGATAACTACATGGTATTTGTGCATTCCTCTAGTGATCTGAGCACCAACACTGTTTGCGTAAGACTGGGCACACTGCAAACGCAGCAGGCGGCCTGCAATACAAACGACAAGTCAGGGAACCAAAAAACGTTGGTGTTTTAGCGAGTTTCTTAATGAAATAACAGTACGCGCAACACTGGGTGTCCAGTGTATTTCGTTTAGGGAGGCAAGAGGACAATGTCTCAGTCATCGCTTTTTATTTTGAACACAACCATAAAGTCTATGTGCTTTCGTACGATCGCCTTCCGGTAAATCGACGGCTAAGCAATGGGGACTTGGGCGCTTGCAGTGTGCTACTGAAGTTCGGTATCTTGTGGCTGATATCTTGTGGTCATCTCCACTCGGGATTTATACAACTACTGCCGGAAGTGTCGGCCAGCTCTGCTGAGTATGTGCCACATAGGTGGGTTTTACCATGGAAAGTAATATGCCTTCGGTCCTGGCGAAACTTTCGAAAACCGGACGCCTGCACTGCTTTACGGATGCAGTAAATGTCAACGAGAGCATACACGACAAACCGTCTTGGATAAGCCTTTTTAAAGCAACAAATATATGTCCTGTGGATACAAGCTGTACACCTCCCTGATAACGGATGCGTGGGTGGCGGCGCCCGTTCATGCGTGCGTTCATGGAAGCAAGCGGTTTGCTCCTACGCGAAAAGTATTCAGTTTTTCGTGGGAATGATGGGCGAGCTCTATCAAGTGAAAATTTTTGTTGTGGACAAGTTTACGACATAGATATGCACAGCAAGAGTAGTGTTGAGCTGTGACGTCATGTTCCATATCAAGAAAGCTATCAGAAAGCACGCATATATCAGATTGCTTCCATGTATTTTTGGTCACAGACACACTCTGTCAACAGTCAGCTTGCTTGGACATACAGTAGGCTTTTTGTCACGCTACGAACACGCAGATTTCGGCAAGATTTCCAAATACTGCACCGCACAAACCCGTGATTTGACTATTATTTTACCGCCTACAGCCAAAATTTAGTTATATATGCACAGTCCTGAGTGGTCTACTTTGACAGTTAAATAGCAACCGTCTAGTTAATGCAAAGGCCGCCTGAAAAACTGGATGCACCTCTCAGACACACTGGGCACACCATACAGAAGGTTTCCAAGCCCACCGCGTGACGAATGCGGGAATATAAGGTGCGTACGTCATATGACTTTGAGCGGCGGGAAATCCTGGAAGGCCGCGGCCAGGTTCTGAACGTGGCCTGCCATATAAATATGTTTGCACGTTTGTTTTCCATTTGAGGCACTTGGGGGCGCCACCTCCAAAGCTGCCTTATCGTAGTGATGGAACAAACAAGTTCGCCGTGCAAACGTACAGATTCTTCTGGATGGATGATATTTGTGCTGGAGAAAGCACACAATCCTTCTACCAGGTTGCGGGGCTCGCCTGCATACATTTCAAGCAGTAAGAAACTTTTTCAGGTTATTTCCTGGTCCACTGACGATAGTTGTAGGATTACAACCTACCGAAACAGGGTGTAACCCTCCCATTTGTTCCTTAGTCAGTGCCGAGAGCTTTCTATGACCCGTGTGAACAACTTAACAAAGTGGCGGATAAGCTTCAGGGGTTGAACCCGGGAGGGCCACAGCCACAGTTGGGCAGTTAATTGTACAGGAAAAAATTCTGCTGCGTCAAAGCTCAACGTCTGCAACCGAACGCACCCCAACCCAGACGACGGTCAAAAAACACACACTTGAGCTTTCGTGTCCTTTTTGAACAACCTACTAGTGCAACGACGGATATCACCGGTGAAAGTTGCACGTATTCTATGGTTTTCTCGAAGCTACGCCCTGCGTCTAATGGAAGGCGAGGTTTGCTACGGGACTTACGGAACTACTTGGAAACGCTCGTTTACAACTACGTGACGGTCAAAAACATCCATGAAAGCTCAAGAAGACGCGTGCGAATGTTCAGTTGTTAAAAATTATGTGCATATGAGGTGTGAATTTTCTTGCCCAATAGTTTATAACTGCTTCGTTGATGCTTGCTAATGAAATACTTCGCAGCAAACCGCTTCACTCTTTCACTTCGTGCCGTCTCCAGGAAGTGGATGAAAATTACATGGTCAAAATCTTTTGAGAATGGGATATGCGGAAATTACCGGAGTATTTCATGGATTTTGCGGAGTGAGCTGGAATAAGGAATTATCAGGGTAAGTCGTTAATACTGGAGACACTCCCAATAGACCTCAGGTGCAACCGAAACGGGCCCCTAAAGGATTCGCCGCCGGTGAAGCTCTTGCAGGAGAGTTTGGCACACCGGCCCACGGCCAAAAAGCAATGAGACGGCTCAAAACATCCGTGATGGGACCTGAATGCACCCAGACCGTGTTGCTTACCAGTCCGCAGCAGTCGTTGGATCGGACTTTGCCAGAACTGGACGAAGCACTGCACCGGCAGTTGCAGTCCGACCAGATCGCAGGAGGTTTACAGCCTGCGCTTAGTGAACAGTTGCGGTTGGAAAGAGCAACTGGCGAACTGAGTGCGGAAGACCTAGTGCACCTGACAATGGAACTGGCCACGGTGCCACTGGCCATTCCGCAGTCTCAGGAGAAGAGGGATTATTCACCAGGGGTGGACCTACACATCATAGGTTACCAACTTCAACCAACCTTCAACCCTTTTACAGAGTTTGGTTACCATCTTGTCAACGTTTGGCTTCGAATACTTTCACAGAGCTCAGTTACTACCTCATCAATATTTACCTTTAACCACTCACAATTTGTTTAACACATGCACACCCACTAGTTCACCCCTGTTTTTATTACGTCACGAACATTCGCCCCAAGACTAACCGAGATTGTTGGAACATTATCATAAGACAAACAGTGCAAGCGCACACAGCGTGAACTTATATTCATGCGAAGCAACTTCAGCAGGGTGCCAACGCTCGCCAACTCACACAGCGCCTTGACCAGTGTCAGTTCAAACATACGCACGACTCATTGTATGAGGAAAATCAGGGCTTGATAGCGTTTGTATTAAATGACAAGAAACGGGCCAGATTTCAACACGCTCAATCAAGACCCTGGTTCAATACAACTGCGTCCTGCAAACCTCAGCATCATCCACTACAACTTATGAACCGAAGAACTCGATAAGACCCCTTCCCTTTTGTGTGTTATTCAACTGTACTACAGTGCCTCTGGTAGCACCTATACATGACTGTTTATTAGTCTTACTCAACTTCTGACATTACTTCGGGTGAATAATAATGGCTCTAACAAGACTAAATTTGACAAACTAGCAAACACCTCCCGTCCATTGAAACAGAACCTTCCAGACGCTCTCAAACGAGCCGACGCAATAAAATTGGCATGCCCGGCTAGTGAAAGAATCATCGCATTCGTAATAATAATAATAATGTTTATTCCCAATTAGTTGGTGGCATACCGTTGGCATGATCATGCGTTTAAAGTCGGAATAGGGCACCAGTGGAGAATCTGCGGGTAGTGGGGATTCCGCGAGAAGGGGACAATGTCATGAATAGTGAGAAGTATTCGATGAAATAATAATAAGAGGTTTCTTTCGCAACTTGTAGGGAGCAATGTGCATGAGGTCTGACTAACCCAAATACCCAGTCGGCTGACATGAACTAAAAAAGAAAACCATTGCTGGCCACGAGTGGCCTTGGGCGGTTTGATAAATGGCCGGAGTCACAACGAGCAAAAATGGAGGTGGAGGCCGGATGATTCGAATTGGGAGAACATAGCAGGTTTAGTCTCATCTCAAAATTACAATCTGAGAATAAGCAGACTCACTGGCTGCACTGACCGACCACCTGGTATCAATACAGCTCTAGATTACTCCTCTTTTGTCAGGTGGGTTGTCAATAGTGCAGGTACAAAGGCAAAGATACAAGCCATTGCCGTGATAGGAAATGGAGCGCCTACCTGATACAGAAGCATGGGTATCGCTTGGGCAGAGAAGCAACGAAGCCCATTGCAAACCGTGTGCGTTAGACTTTTGAGCAGTAGGTGGATACCGGCACAAAATTGGGTTGTCAATACACTGAATGCGCCTAGAAAACAGGTTGGCTCGGCCCGAGTTCCGTAGCAGCCCTGATATAGAGCGAACAAACTTCGAAGCGGATTTCCTCAAGAGCATAGAATCCGTGGTTGACCTCACGCAGGGAAAATTCTGGTGACAAAACATGGCGCCGTCAGGTACAAAGTTACACAAGCAATGCCGTGAGTAAGCAGTATACCCGAGAGCTTCGGCCTTTTAATGTGCCGTCGGTGCAGTCCGTGGTCAAGAAATACTACAAACTGTTCACAGACGATGAAGATCCGTTAAGTTTCCACTTGTGCACTGAACAACAGAATCCTCTCCCGTCTGAACGCTTTCGACTTTAGGACCCCCGTCTGCTGCCACACATATACGGGAAGATGTATATAGACCGGCTCAAGAGATCCTGAGTAAGTGGCATAATCGAGGAAGTCAACAGTTTGTGTAACTCACCGATTGTGGTTGTAAAAAAGGTAGAAAAATACCCATTTTGAGTGAATTCTCGGCTTTTGAATTAACTACCATAAGCCGTGTCATAGCTGTCCCTACGGCCGCGGAACTTTTCGAATCCCCCCAGGATCCCTGATACTTCCAGGTTTTCAACTTGCGTTCCGGAAGAAAACGACGTACATTGTTGGGAACATCCAACGCCAGTTTGGGCAGATTCCGTTTGGCCCGTAGGAGGCGCCGTTCACATTGCGATGCTTGACGCTTCGTTTAACGAAGGGACTAATTAATGTTGTCGTGTACGGAGATGATATCGTTGTGTACAGCACTTCGTAATCAGAGCATGCGGCTTACTTTACGGCCCTATCGTAGCGTGTGCGAGAAGCTGGTCCGCGGAGGCGTGAAGCTCAGACACAGCACCTCGGTGTTCAGGGCCAATGCTCGATTATGATGTTAGTCATGAAGGGTTAGCAAGCTGCCGGTGCAGCTAGCGAAGATTCAGGATTGTGCCGCTCCCAATTCCAAGCGCTTACCTGGGTAGTTTCTTGGACGATCAACATACTACAGCACTTTGTCAGCGATTTCAACATGGCTGTCGCTCCAGTTCATGACTTGCTTTGGCCAAATGCATAAGGGAAGCTTATCTGGTTTCGGAATGTGTCAAAGCGCTGATGCTATGTCGGCAACTGACTCTCAAATCGCACAATATCGAGGGGATTTTCATTGTTGCAACGTGCGCTGGTGAACGCGATATAAGTGCAGTCTTAAAGCAGATGAATGTAGTCATTGTAAATGTCAGTCGTGTCCTGATTACCGCTAAACAGAAGTACTCAACTACTGGGAAAGTATGTTTGGTAATCGTCGGGGCCTTGAGCAAGTAGGGCCCATACTTCCCGGGACGAGGATTTCAAGCTAGGACCGATCAAAACCTCCTCGAGTGGATCTAGACCACCATAAATCCTAACGGAAAGCTCGCTCGCTGGGCACTCCGGTTACAAAAGCACGACTACACGATCAGGCGTGCACCAAAGAAGAACAACCTAGCTGATTGACTATCCATATTACAGGCTGGATTTGAGGCCACCAGGAACTACACGATCAGGCGTGCACCAAAGAACAACCTAGCTGACTGACCATCAATATTACAGGCTGGATTTGAGGCCACCAGGATCGAACTGGGTCCCAATAGCCTTGTCGTCCAACTGGCTCCCGGAAGTTAGGTACAACTCTCGTGTTGCGGAGGGTTGCAGTTGCCTCGTTGAATGAAGGGAATATCTAGAAAGCAAACGTTCCAGAGTCACTTCGATGGGCTATCTGAGAGAAAGTGGCACAATGTCCTGGAAGGCCATCAATTCTGATGTTGTGCTGTCCGTGATACCCCGCTTCTTGAGGTGAGATCTGATAGTCGAATTTCATTGGATGGCACACAGGGTTCATCAAGACATAGGACTTGCTTCTGCAGAGGGTTTACTGGTCCAGGATGAAAAGTGAGTTGATGGACTGTGTGGTGGCCTGAAAGCGGTGCCAAATTATGGAAGGAAATTCGACAAGGGCAACACATCCCATGGAACTCATCCCTGTAGCAGAGATCGGTCCGTTGTCGTCGTGGGCTTCCGTCTGGTGACAAATGACAGACTTCACCATATCGTAAAAATAGCAGGACACCTGTAGTCGTGCGTCAAGACGTGCGTTCATCCTGATGTACGGTCGGCATCCGTGCCTTCCGGTTGATCAAGAAATTGGGTTATGGCCAGCAGCACGCCCATCCCCGGAGGAGGTAGATGGGGTAAAAGGGGAAGCTCAGAAAGGCCCAATCACCCTTTAGAAATGGGCTTGACGAAGAAGGTAAAAAGGCAAAACCACCCCCCCATTGACACGAAGATCAAACTCAAAGGTCGTCAGAATCAGGGAATGAGTGACCTGGGGTCAGGGAAGCGGGGCAGTCGGAGGCAAGGTCGGATGGTCTTTACCGACTGCCGAAGAATCGCCTTTACGATTCAGAGCGGTCGATGATCAAAAAGAATAAGTGATATTTAGCTTTGGAAGTGGCATGTTACACCCGAAGACCTGCCGGATAGACCGGTCTACGAGACCGACCTAACGGAGGTGAATATAACTCGGTGTAGAGCACACGACGTTTAAAGGGGAGTGTTATGTAATGGTGGATGCAGCCGACGGAGCATGCAAGTAGTCTGTGGTTTTCTCGGAGCTACGCCCGGCGTCTACTGGAAGCTGTGGCTCATTGCGAAACGTGTGGAACTGATATGCAATGTTCGTTTGCAACTGCAAGACCGTCGATGAATATCCGTGGAAGTTTAAGCAGGCACCTGAGAATTTTCAATGTTTTCCATAGAGGAGAATGTCGGTAGCTCAGGTGGCGTAGATGGTCGTTGGCTTGTTCGCTGAGCTGGGCAATTTGGTTGCAAACGTTTCATCACCAATCGAGGTGACATCATCAGTGCGTAGGTGTGCGTAGCGGTGGGTTGGTGGTTGTGCGTTCAGTAGTGTTACTTGTGTGTTGATATACGTGCTGGTAGCCGGGGATGACATTTGACCGCGATTAGTTATTCTGTCGGATGGTTCCACTGGTTGTTCTTTTATCCCGTGTCCTCGTTCGCCGATGCCCACATGACCCTTGAACTTGGCATCCCTCGCGCTCGTGGACCGGTCGGTGTTAGAGTGACATTTGTCCTTCCGAATTCCGGTTGTGACCTTCATTGATTTGACTCCGAGCTGTTGTGGAAAACACCTCAACAACAGCCACAGCAAGATTAAGCCACCGGACGGATAGTCCTACTCTACATCAGAACTCGCAATCAGATTATTGGCGCAAAATGGAATCTTCCTGGCCCACAAACCGAGTGCTACTCCAAGGAAATTAATCCCTAGACCGAAGGACAACCGGGACAAAACCAAGAGGAACAATGTGACATACCAAATCGACTACAACGACTGCAACAAATTTTACGTTGGACAAACTGGGAGAAAAGTATTTACACGAATAAGGGACCACAACGCGGCTATCAGGAGGCATGACACCCTGTCCTTGATATCTGTACAAGAGGACCAAGAAGGCCGCAAATTCAGTCTGGAAAACGCAAAAAGTTTGCCATACGGAGACACGCGACACGGAAGAGAATTTCTGGAAGCACGGTACTCTACGGCAAGTTCAATCAACCGGTGCATCCAACTGGATCCAATTTACGTACCTCTACGTGCGAGAGATCAACATCGCAACCGAAACACTCAAGGGGGACCGAATAATAGATTGACAAACGAAGAAACAAGGAACTCCTCGGAGTCAAATCGATAAAGGTCACAACCGGAATTCGGAAGGACAAATGTCACTCCAACACCGACCGGTCCACGAGGGCGAGGGATGCCAAGTTCAAAGGTCATGTGGGCATCGGCGAACGAGGACACGGGATAAAAGAACAGCCCGTGGAACCATCCGACAGAATAACTAATCGCGGTCAAATGTCATCCCCGGCTACCAGCACGTATATCAACACACAAGTAACACTACTGAACGCACAACCACTAACCCACCGCTACGCACACCTACGCACTGATGATGTCACCTCGATTGGTGATGAAACATTTGCAACCAAATTGCCCAGCTCAGCGAACAAGCCGACGACCAATTTTCAGTGTTTTTAAATCATGTGTCAAATGCCCTGCCCACTTTCCTTCTCAGTTGGCGTTCGCTAATTAGTGACTTCAAAGTGAAGGGCTTTCCTGCTTTCAATAATATTAGTGACTGCTGGTGGTCAACGGATCGCGTATTATTTTACCTTGACCGTCATGATGCTGAACTTTGCTCGCTATGCGTTAATGCTCTTCAGGCCTCTCAAAATGTCTGTCTAAAATTGAATATTGTTTGGTTCTTAGACCCCGGCCCGTCCAGAGAACGCTGAGATGTGTTTACTAACCTGTCCGCAACAGCCTGGACCGAGGCACAGAATCCCACGACAGTGTGCCCCGGAAGTCTGTGTGTCCGCATTTTCAGATCCATCGGGGGATAATAGACGGCCGTGGGTGAATTTCTGACTACTGCGACCAACGCTGTAGAGCGCTAACTAATGAAAAAAGGCGAAAATAATTTTCTGTGACTGATACACGGCTCATCATCTATAGAATGTTGGTGTATTGATGGGACCTCATGTAATTCATGTAAATTTTGCAATTCTTCAGGGCTATGGTCGGTAGGCAACAAGCTAATAGAGATCACCCAATGCGGAACAGCCGTTAAAGGTGACACTGTGCAGTCAATTTTACACCAGATCATTTCCAACAAAGTGCTCCTCTGCAGGGTATGTATTGTTTCCTGTATGACGGCCGACCGACAAGTGGTATTTTGACAACCTGACTTGTATCTTCCTCCCAATTCAGGACACCAATGGCTCAATTAACACTGAGCACCAAGAAGGTAACGCGTTTCCTTGTACTAATCAAAACGACCAATAAAATTCAATTTTTAACGCCATACAACTTGAGCCTCCGGTATAGGTGGATGGGCACCAGGTCCATTGAGCTATTCGTTATGGACGACGTAGTTTCCATGTGGCTGACTGATTAGGCACCGTGGTCTCCCAGTCGTATGTTAGCCTTGTGCGTTGGCCAGATTCATTCGGCCGTCTGCTAGGATCGACAACATGGTCGGCCTGGCAGTTTTTGTGTTATAATGGAGGACTCCGCTGTTTAAAAGCGAACTTGAATAGGGCATCAACATGCGCAAACCATATACACTTCCGAGCAGACATGATTTATTGGGCAAAGTGAATTGGGATTCTATGATGTTAACTCAGACTTCCGAATTATCAGGGTCCCAGAACATGTACTTTCGTATTCACCTGAAAGCGCAGATATAAAAAATTTATTTAAAATATTGGAATTTCTGCATGTTCTGCTTCCAAAATGACCGTGTAGATTCTAGTGAGTTTGTGGCAACCCAGTCACACACATGTTTGACTGTTCAGCTCACAGTCGCTCACTGGATCACAAGACTTGTCGTTTTTCATACTCGCAAACCACGTCACATCAAGGTGACCCATCGGACATTGGTTGTCTACACCGTCTAGTGAACGTAGCAACCACTCATGTGCCGGCGTGCCCACGTATACGCAAACGGACCTACATATAGGGAAACTAAACACAGTCATCACATAGACTCGCGCGCGCGCGCAGGGAGCGAGGAGTCAGCCAAGTCCAAGTCCACGGGTAACCGTGGAACACGTGTAGCAGTCACACTGTGGTGAAAAACACGTTCCCGTCTTCCGGACTTTCACCAGGTGACTCTCACGTATGATAAGTTTCCTTTCTAACTTGCTCTCATTTCACATTGTATTTATTTTTAGACGTGTTGCAACCCTCCAGTGCCAATCATATTAAAAACTTTTATTAGTGCATACACCTGGTTTGTATTATGACTATCATCACCTGTGCACTAATAATCAGGTTTTTCTCCGCAGTTTGGCTGCTACACGTGTTCCACAGTTGTCCGTGGACTTGGAGTGTTTGGCTGACGCCTTGCTCCCTGCGCGCGCGCGAGTCTGTGTGATGACTGTGTTTAGTTTCCCTATATGTAGGCTCGTTTGCGTATACGTGGGCGCGCCAGCACATGAGTGGTTGCTACGCTCACTGGACGGGGTAGACAATCGATGTCCGATGATTCACCTTGATGTGACGTGGTTTTCGATTATGAAAAAGGCAAGTCTTGTGATCCAGTGAGTGACTGTGAGCTGAACAATCAAGCACGTGGGTGACTGGGTTGCTACAAGTTCAGTGAATCAGTTCAGCTAAAGAACTCTCTACAAATTACGTCTATTATGAGCCATTCGTCAAACATCACATGTAGATAAGTTGCAGGATAATTTATTATACACATCCTACACTATGAAGTGGTAACACTGGAAACGTCGTAGCTACCAAGAAATCTATTCCAACGCGCGGAGATATATGCTATCCTAACTGTGAAGTGTAACCTCGAAAACGTTGCAGTTTCCGATAAATTGGTTTCATTTGCCGAATGCTGGTCTGCAGTTGGTAGCGGTGTTTGTGGAAGAATTCGCTGGACCACCTTGTCGAAATTACCGATTAACTGTATATCATGGACTGGACGAACTTCACTTGGGCATCTTTAACATATTACTGTGGTGTCGTGAAATTGCTTTAAATTGCTCCTTTCAAACTGAGGTCGCGGATTGTGTTGTCGTTGCTTGTAGTTTGCAATTCGTGCTAATATTTGGACTGCTGTTCCACCTGCCTTTTGATATGGAAAACACGGGAAGAATGAGACAGACTTTATCGCAAACAAAAGCTGGGTGTTACGGATGTAATTATAGGCTGCCAAATTGCAAAAGTCCATTTTCAGAATGGGGTCGAAAACGCTGAAAGCGCTGAATTCTCAGTGACCCACAGCCCGACCAACTAGGCACTCCTCACTCTGGGCTGCAGCCCACTGAAAGCACTGGATTCTAAGTGACCCACAGCCCGGCCAATTAGGCACTCCTCACTCTGGGCTGCAGCCGATTCATCACACTTACAATTAATCCACGCCGTTTCTGGTTACTTCGAACGGCTCACCCTCAGGAAGACGTCTTGCAAAATCGGTAAAAAAAATCAGCAGATATGGAGCAGAATTCGCCATCGACGATTTCGTCGACAAGTTCTAGGGAATCTCTGGTATGTGTGTAACTCCGTCGATGAACTCAAGAATTTTCTCTCCGTGCGAGCTCCCAAAGATTTGCAACAGGGAGTTTTCGAGGCGGAAAGGAGAATTTCTCATAAGTCGGATACAAATAACGGTAGCAGATTCATGAATTTGCGTCGTAGCCACAATTAAATGCACAAACCTTATAAGGTGTGTGCTTTCTGTTTTATGACAATTGTTGTGCTCGATTACTCCAAACGGACAGCCGCCAACCGGACCTTGACCGGCTCGCTAGACAGACTTCCAAGTTCACCAACCGGACCTTGCATAGCTAATCATTTTCGACCGGCTCGCTAGACAGACTTCCAAGTTCGTCTCTCTGTGCGACGGCAGTATTTGTAGCAGTTGTCTTAAGGTGCGCAAATTGAAACAGATGGGGTATTTCCCGATTCACATTGGCGTTCCGTTTTCCCCTGTTTGCCCTGTTGAGGGGATATTTGGTAAAGAAAATTGCAGCTGCCCGTACTGTTTCCTTAAAATGTCATCCAGGTGTAGGAGGGAAGTAACGACAGTTTCCTCAGGGCCTCCAAGCTAGCGTTCACGTCAAAACAACCACCAGAGATGCATAGCGTATACTAACGCCCAAAATGAAGTCAAAACATTTATACAGCATACCACGTATTTAGTGCATGCGGTGACAACCTGGAAATTCTGACGCCTTTGGGATGCGCCATTGGCCACCAGCATTTGGCCAATGCTGGGTTGCGACTGACTGTTGGGTCCAGAATTTCGACCAATCAGTTCTCGGCTTGATGCCTGACTGACAAGCATCCCGAACTTTTGGCCAATATTCTGCGGGATAGACTTCTCGGCCGTGGCAGCCACCAACTGCGGATGGAATCCGCATGGAATTCTTCCTGAAGGGGAAGAAATTTCGCCTAACGTTGGATGTGACAGAATAATTATACAAGGAGCGTTAGTGTGGCAGCGTCAACACTAACTCTTGACGGCACGTACGTCAGGCTTCGTCTCTGTGCCACTCAAGGAATCGTCCGCGACCATATATATTCCTCGTCATTTGCCAGCCATCCTAAAACTGGCATCCGTCATCCTAGTGGAACAGTGGAAGATTGCCTGTGTTTATTATCCGTTGACCACCAGCCGCTAGATTCAGTGCGTTCCGAGTGCTTGTCGAGGCGGATAGTTTGCCCACACCAGACGCTGGTAGTGCCTCGTAGTGATACCGATCGGAAATAATTAATCGCCTGTTTTCGCATCAGTGTGATGGTACAGTGTCCATGAAGGCATTTTGTACACGAATCTCCAGCGAATGACATGATGGAGCTACAACCCAGGCAAGGGTTTGTGGGGAAATGCCGATTAAACATCACCTCGAAGATTTGTGGAGCTAGACCCAAAACGACGGGCGGAAGAGATTATTTTATCCAGTGAGTTCTGTGCTCCGAGGTCATTGTATGCGATCACTACGTCGTGCGCGTATTCGGAATCGCTCAGTCACATCCCTGAAATTATTGGGCGTCACTGTATCCTTGGTTGTTTAGTGTCCCTGGGGGTGTCCATCGCAAAGCTGGACTCCATTTGAGGTGTTAGAACCCGCGGGCAGTTTGCCGTAGGCTCGCGCTGGCACACATTTGACCATAAGTAGCCATAAGTATCCTGCTCGTCATAACAGAATCCCGTAAGACGGTTCGGTCAACATCAGTGAAACTAGCGTCATCGGCGTGTTGTAGTTTTAAATTCTGTCCTAAGATGAAAGGTGTAGCCGATGCTGGCTCGAACTTCACGGAGGTGCTGTTCAGGAGTGTGAATCAAACACTGGTTGGGCGTAGCTGTCCTTAGATATGACTAGTGGGTTGTATTGTCCTAGGTTAAAGGCAGTCAAGCGACTACTGCTGATTGTTATGTAGTACTTTTGTTTCTGTCAGTTCTGCTGATTCCACACGCCTGGTGCGACCTGGGACGCCTACGAAAATGTGGAGGCTTTCAGAGACTAGGGTGTGATCAGTTCTACCGTTCTATACTCAGCCGCTTTATCCGAATCTCATTGCTGTGTGGTCTATTTGCATCCAGTACTGTGCAGGAGTACTCTCTCTTGAGCTTGAGGTAGCTCGGTGGTTACTGCGCAGAATTAAAGATCCGTGGCGAAAACCCAACCTGTGTATCTCGACTGCTGTGTAGTCTTGGGAAACTTGGCAGCATCTCAGCCTTCGTGCTTCCCTCTGGTGGCACGATAGCTATTCAACGAAGGAGTTCTACAGCCGGGGGTGATTTATTTTATTATTATTATTGCCATTAATCAGAAAGGGTACTCTAGACCGGTTTTCAACGAAAACCGTCACACAAGTTGAAAAATTACAGTAAAAAATAAAAATTAAAAAATCGTTCAGCTGTAACACCCTTCCGGCGCCTTGCTGCCATGCCACCCGAAGTAAGCATGAGCGCTGAAATACTGCCAGGTTGCACAGGCCTAGACAGGGGAAGTTGAGAGGCAGAAGTTGTACCTTTGCGCTCTAACCACTTGAGCCATCGCCATGACACTATTGCATCGTCATCGACAGGCACTTGAAATAAGCGTTCGCTGTAGTTTGTACATCAAACTCTGACGTAGTGTCGATCCTCCGGTTGCTCCCGTCCAGCTCTGATTCGCCACTAGGCAGTTGTAACTTCAGCTAGTACCGAGGTGTTTTTTGTGTTGCTTTAAGTTGGTTGTAGAACTCGTCTTCCGAAACCGCATATCCATTGGTGAATGAATAGACAGTGATGACGAACAAGCAACCGCACACCTGGTTTCTCCCGACCTAAATCTGCCACCTTGACGTGGTGGTCGGGCTTGAGTGTTGCAATGATCCCGCGGGCTACATTGGCCGGAACTTCGTTTCACAAGGTGCAACCATGCCAGGAGGGCCAAAGGGGAACAGCGAGACACCGCACTACGAGTAATCGTGGTACGAGGTGGTCTGGGGGTAAAGTCGTACTGTCCCCTGTGGCAGGAGTGTGAAGACAGTAAGTTGTTTCCCCCAGGCGACCAGCATATCCATATTCATGGAAGCAGCGATGCTGCTTTCCCCCGAGGAAGGACGGG